TTCAGCATCAAGAATTGTTTCGACTGCTTGGATGTGGTTCTAAAGGACATAAAACATAAACGTATTTCGCGAATTTATAATACAATGAAGACGACAAGTAGGATTTGCAGATCATGTCCGAAATTCAACAAACTCACTGAAAGTTTGGTGCCCCGGGGATAAGAAATACGGTGAAATCAACGAATTCATAAGATATTAATCGGCTGCAGCAGATGAAATTGTTAGCGAACTGGACCCATCTACAATGAATATGGATCCACGTTAACTGTGCTGAACTGATACGAGGCTGTACATAACCACTAAAATAGTTGCAGACATAGATTTTACGCCGATACACGTCGTCCCCATTAATAGTTTTCGTTAAAGCAAAGCCCGCCATCTTCAATTTCAAAATGGCACACGTCGTTCCCTATCCAAAAATACCCATATTGTGGAATTGGACAGTTTTTATTGAACCGATGCCCGCCAGATTTGATTCCAAAATGGCGACTTGAATAGATATATAGCTTCTACACGTCTTCGCCTCGCCGAAAATACCCATATTGTAGGGTATTTGACAGTTTTTCTTGAATCGAAGGCCTCCATCTTGGATTTCAAAATGGCATCTGGCATCGATTTCCGGCCTCTACACGTCGTCCCCTTTCCGCAAATACCCATATTGCAGGGTATTTGACAGTTTTTCTTGAACCGATGACCTCCATATTGGATTCCAAAATTGCGTCTGGCATCGATTTCCAGTCTCTATTCGTCATCCCCTTTCCGAAAATAACCTTATTGTAGCATATTTAACAGTTTTTCTTGAACTGATGGACGCCATCTTGGATTTCAAAATGGCGACTGGCATCGATTGCCAGCCTCATACCCATATTGAAACAAATGAGATAATCCACCACAGCCCCTATTAGAGAACATTCCATAAGCTGTGAGTATAGTTATTTGCGGATAGCCCGGCAATAAGGATACCGGCAATAAGGATTCCTGACTGTATGTCCAAATAGAATGTAATGCACTACACCGCCTAAAGCTTTACAGACGCTCTCGAAAAGGCGAGGAAATGTTGTTCACTACTAGGTCCAATACACTGAAGTCTTTTTTTACACGGTTTTTTTTTTACGCGGTTTTTTTTACACGGTTTTCCACGATTTACACGGTACGTTTTTAACGATTTCTCGACAACGATACAACCTATCGACTTGATTCCAATCACATTATCCGTTTCAAGCTATTTGTAATCGAATGGCATACTTAAAAAAAAAAATCACAATTTTTGGTGTACACACAGAATTTTTTTAAATATGTCTATATGGACCATACCATGCTTTAATTACAAATGGCATCAAAATCCGATTTTTTAAAAACATTTAAGCATGCGAAAAATCAAAATCTCGTAGGTTTTTTTTTACACGGTTTTTTTTTTACACGGACCGTAAAAAAAGACCTGAGTGTACATAATGCACCAATAATGAAAAATACATGCTAAAGTAGTAAGTTTAATTGTGAACTACGCCGCTAGAGGCGCTTCACTTTCATATTACTTATGACAGGCGCTATATATAGTATCTCGTGATCATGGCCATGTGGAAAGTTGCCGTCTTGAGCAAAGTTGTTCAGGTGAGCACTTCCTTTCGGACGGTGATCATACTAGATCAGAACTCTACCACTTTGCGGTGCAAGTGTTCACATGAACTTCACGCTACACAGCAAAAAAATAATTTTGATATCACATCAAAGTGGATGCACTACAATCATGTCGAAAATTTCATGTAATTTTTATGACCACATAAATAAACAAATGCAGTAAAAGCAGCGTAATGTCAGTTCATGCATTGTATTAATGATAATTTTGTCCTTTTTAGCAAGTAATATTACACCATATTTTCGACATGATTGTAGTGCATCCACTTTGACGTGATATCAAAATTATTTTTTTGCTGTGTAGTGTTCACGCAGAGAAATGATTTGTAAATTCAAATGGATATATGTTTGGCTCAGGGCCTAATATATTTTTGGTATTGATTGAAATATATTATTCGGTTAATTCAAAGAAAAATATTTGTCTATCAACAAACCGGTTGTAGAGTCAATAATCTGTTTGTTGATTCTAAAAACCATTTTGTTGATTCAAAAATATGTTTTGTTGAAATAGTGATACAATATGTTTGAATCAATAACAACATACATAAGGCCCTGAAACAAAAATCCATTTTTCTGCGTATTCACATGAATATTGTTTACGTGACCAAGTCCTTTCGGATGGTAGTCATACTAGTTCTGAAGTCTATCACTACGTGACACTAGTGCGCATGCGAATTTCCTGAATATGCTGTCTGGAAAGCCTGCTCAAATAGGATGTTTCTGTACAATGTGAGTATTTTCGGAACAGGAGTAACGTGTATAGGTCAAAAATCGAAGTCGGACGCCATTTTTTACTCCAAGATGGCCGCCATCGGTTATAGAAACACTGTAAAATACCCACAATATGGGTATTTTCGGAACGGGGACGACGTGTAGTAGAGGTCGAAAATCGATGTTGGACGCCATTTTGGAATTCAAGGTGACAGCTACTACACCACTTAGCCGCTAAACCATCGGTTTTAGGAATACAATACTATAGAGGTCGAAAAATCGATGCCGGACGCCATTTTGGAATCCAAGATCATGGTATTGAATTCAATTGTCATATTTCAAAAATCAGTTCCTACCCCATTCAAAAATAGATTCCAAACATTTACAACAAATTTTCATGTACCTACTGAATAATGTTTATTTACAGTGAAAATTAGCTTATTAAAATGCATTTTATATAACAAACCGGTTTAAAATAATTCAAAGTACATCACCCCGTATTTTATAATGTGTATGTTATAAAATTATGACAGATAAACTGAATCCAATTTGAGTTATCTGTGTTGAAACAAAAATCGATCAAATAGCGAACGCTGTAATTTAAAGAATTGAAATTCATTAAAATAGTTTCATATTAACATATGTTTGTGATTTTTACTGATCTTCGTTTACACAAGGCATAGGGCTGTATTTAAATTTACAAACATTATGGTACCAGACCTATCAACCGGCTTATTTTTCGCTAATGTATGCCATGAAAGTTGTAAATCGTATACTGAAAAATTAACACGTTACAAGACAATATGTTACATTCATGTGATATACATTTCACATGTAACGACGGCAGTTCCAAAATAGCAAATAAAACTAAATTTGAAGTAAATAGCAAAGTATTAGTTGGGACGTAATAACTATGAAGAATAAGAAGAACTTATCAAAATTTCGATTTAAAGAAACATTATTGCAAAGGGACACTTACTTTCCTGGTAATAGAATTCTGAACTAAACTTCTTTGTGCATCTAATCAACCCGGCCAAAGAAAGCAAGTCACTTAGAACACTAGTGCTACCGGGTGAATGAATTTTCAACTAAACTGGTCACCAAACAATAAGTCTTATAAATCTGATCAACTTTGCCAAAAACAGCAACCATCTATCTAGTTGAGCAAGCAATTATAAGTAAATCGTATACTCACATCTCCTGGTGTGAGAATTCAGAACTGAGCTGTCGACTATACAACGAGATGTCGACTTAAAAAAGCCATTGGTCAAATGGCACTAGTGGTTAGTGATTTTTTCGAATGAAATAAGATAGGTCTTTACTAGAACACCTTTACTAAGCCAGCTAACTTTCACCTAGTCATGCTTTTAATCTAAAGCAAATAATTAAAAGTTAAGTCTTATACTCGCGCCGCCTGGAGTGAGAATTCTGAACTGAGCTGTCCACTATAAAATAGATCGTGTTGACAGCAACCTTCTATCTATTCACTCTGAACAATTTTACCTAAGACAGTAAACTTATATCTGAGACCTATTCTGCACCTCAGTAGTGACAGCGAGTCACTTCAGGTCACTCGCGGCGCAGAATAAGGGGTCTAGTTGTACTGTCCAGTTACAGCAAGCAATAAGATGTCAAATTGCACACTAGCGTCCCCTGTTGTGAGAATTTTAAACTTTGTTGTAGCTTTAGGTAGCTGCACAGCAAAAAAATAATTTTGATATCACGTCAAAGTGGATGCACTACAATCATGTCGAAAATATGGTGTAATATCCCGAGCAAAGTCTGAAATCAAATTGAAATCTAAATTTGATGTTGTGATTTTGCTGATAATAATTGCTCAGGTTGCTGTCGTTTTGGTCGTTTTAACGGTTAAAATATCAAAATTGAGAGCAAAAAAATCTTCCTGTGACATCACATTGAAAACTATTTCTGCTATCAGTGAGAGCAAGCTGAAAACTCAATTTGATATCAATTTTTCCTGTTGATAACAAAACAAGTATTCAATTTGATGTTATGCTAAGGCAATGAAAACAAACCCGCAACAACATATTTTTGAAGAGCAAATGTACAGCAAAATGAAAACAAAATTTGTCAATTGCATAATCTGAAATCAAATTAGGATTTCAGTTTGATGTTGATATCAAAATTTGATTTCAATTTGCTGTCATTTTGATGCTGGACTTTGCTCGGGATTACTTGCTAAAAAGGACAAAATTATCATTAATACAATGCATGAACTGACATTACGCTGCTTTTACTGCATTTGTTTATTTATGTGGTCATAAAAATTACATGAAATTTTCGACATGATTGTAGTGCATCCACTTTGATGTGATATCAAAATTATTTTTTTGCTGTGTGTAACACTTCCTTCAGCAAAAAGCAAATAGATCCGCACGGCAAGAGAGCACGATGCGGACTGAAATGACGCCTTTCTGGGCCAGGTAAATGCGACGACGACGATGGAGACTGCAGCGACTATATCACCGTACCGCATGAAAGTTGAAAAGACCGCGAAAAAGAAGAAAAAAAAAAACTTTCCAGTTACGCATGTTTGCACGCTCACCCAAATATTGTTGGCTTTGATGATTTATATTTCATGGCACTTATTAAAGCACTGATTCCGTGACAAACACTACTTGTGCATAACTTACCGGCCATCCAAATTCGAACGGAAATCGTATCGGATTTTCGAATCCTTCTTGCTTGCTTTTCTCGGTCAGGTTTAGCGAACTTCCTTCGAGAACGGGCGTAATGACATCACCGAACGTGCACGGCGATGAGGTGTCAATCTTGGCTTGATAATGTTTCAAGCACGCACGAAATCTCGTTTTGCATGCGCCGATACAGTTGCCGTTGGAATCGGATCGTCCTGTGCAACAAGCGCCTTCGTTATCCACTCCTCGCTCGTTTTTGAAGTATTTTAGTTTCAGCTCAAACAGACCCGAGCTTTCGATCTGCAAAAGAAAGGAAAAGATTGTCACGATTAGAACGTCAAATATTTGTCAAATGTTGGTCTTCCAGAAACAACTTAATAAAAACCATAGTTTATAGGAGTAAGCAGAACACACAGATTTCAGTTAGGGACGCACCTATGTTGGCCATGTTTTCATTATATTTCACAGTGTTTATATGTTTGAGATTTCAACTTGTGTCAAGATTATTGATTCAATTTTTTTTTAAGTTGGTACATTACACATCGCCCGCAAAACGCACGAAGATTGTGATTTAATCATTTTTGTGAGGTATGGCCAAAATAGGAAACTATGGCTAAAACTGGTCCACTTACCCTATGTGAAATACTGGATTCCATCCCCGCAGCATCTTGTACGCCATATCACATGTACATGACTTTTGCCCGTAACACCCAACAAGACGATTATAAGTATCAGACTACTTATAAAACAGACTTAATTAGACAACAGATTCCAAGAAATGAATAAAACAAAATTTAAACTTAAAAAAATATATATTTAATTACATTTGTTTTCTCTGCATTGCCTACTTTCGTGTCTTCCTGTCAGTAGGTATAATACGGCCGGTAAGAGTAGATATGTGAGAAAATCTGAGCGCCTTTGGTAGCCAAGATTATACTGTGCACCACCGTTGTGAGTAACACAAGAGGAGAAAGAATCTTTGGCATGCTGTTAATTCCCGCGAGATTATTTGATCTCTCTATATAAAATAATCATCATAAAATAGAGCCACAACTGTCCCGAAGAAGGGAAAACAAAACTCATTATCATAATTAATCATAAAATAGACAAAGAGCAGCAGCATCTAACCGAATATTATCTCAAACGCATTTTCGACCACCACCAGCTAGCAGGCACGAACCGGCAATGGATTCTGTTCTGTTTTTTCTGTTCCCTATGGGTAATGACGATGTCCGCTTTACTGACACACGTTCACACACTAAAAGTTCCACGAGCGCCGTTGATCAGCTATTTATTACTACCATATTAATCACGAGAAAATCTTCTCTCTGAAAAAAAATGATTAAAATCAGTGTCAACCTTTGCTAATTCCTCAAAACGATTCATCTAGTTTTGTTCCAATTTCTCTTGTAGCGGATTCGTCTTGTCAAGACTAACATTTGGCTTAGCTGGAAACCACTATTTGTTCATATCATACATTTTTTAACCCTTTGCACCCTTTGACCGAGGGGGCGACACATCTAAATCTCAATTCTAGATGCTCAAAAAATCTCACCCTAGCTAATCAATCTTCGAAAAATCATTTTTCATTTCTCGCATCTACTTGCATCGTGCTTCATCTTTTTGCAGGAAATCTTCAAAATCGACATAAATCTTCCTTCTATCTACTCAGCGTGCGTGCAGCTAGCCACAGCAAAACACAATCTTTTCTGCATCGTAGATAGAGTCGCCCCCTCGCCTTTGACGGATTTGTTGCTTTATTACACTGAAAAAATTCTACACGTCATCATATTGTGTCTCCCAATTAATTTTGCACTTATTGTGAAACACATCCATTTCATGTGTGAATCTTATGCAATGAACCATGCCTGAACACTATTGATTTGAATTGAGACACACTTGGATTCAATGTTCTACAATATTCTACATTATCGACTTCTACTTTACCTTTCTGAGCAAGAAATTCACATCGCATTGAAATACAAAACACCTTAAATCCATCTGTTTTGAACAGCAGTGTGATTCAATGTGCAATACACTTGAATAGATAGTGAAAGATTTACAACATTTCACAGATTGAAACACTAGAAAATAACGGGTAAAACACATTGAACCAAGGTATAGGTACTTAAAAAAAATGTGATTGTGCTTTTAAAAATTCAAGTATTCAAACACATCGATCAGACGTGTGGAATTTTTTAACTGTATACACTTTTAGCATATCCATATTCAAAAGCATGGAGAGAGCAGAAGAAAAAGCACAGGTCTGCTAATTGCCACGTTCGGGGTTCGAGTCCAGTTGACAACCTTATTTATATTTTTATCGACATAAAATTCATTTCACTCCCTAAAACAAATGTTTCATTCTCAAATTTTCTTGCATTTGACCGCAGATCGGTATAGATGAGTGCACAGATGGACTTGAGTTCACTCACTCGACAAAAGTGACACAACAGCGGGCCCTGTTTACTTAAAATGAACACATGAATAATACTCGCGTAACATTTGAAACGAGCCTGTCACCTTTTGTACACAAAACTTGTTAAGCCCTTTTCGCGCGAACTACTACTCACTGTAGCAAGACAACTGTCGGTAAACTGTGGACTATCCTCGCTGTTTGACTTGATCAAGTCTAATAACCTCTAATAGTACTCAACCTGCCATTTGTGTTCCGTCGATCTTACCGTAGTGATTAACAATGCTACCGACACCATGGAGGTAACTCCCACACCTGGACCTTACCTAACGATCCATCAACTAATGGACCGGGGACCAACATCTTTACTTCCCTTCTGAAGGAAGGCGTGATCAGAGAATCCTCAGAAAATCCCGACTGGGATTGAACCCAGACTCTTTGGAGTGAAAGGCAGTCACCCTAGCACAGAAGTGGAAGTGTGAACGAATCAGTGTATCAAAAAATGGGAGAACATTTTTCTTCACCAAGCGATGCTTGTGGATGCGCTTCACACGGATTTTCTATGGACACTTGGCATGCGCAATTCACACAAATAATATGGAGCTACTTTTGGATCCGAAGTTCCACTTCTGTTCTGTTCAGTCACGCTTATCACTACACCACCGATGCTGCTTTTTTGTTTCTAGAGCTAATTGGTTACATGGTTCAGCAAAATATAGTTGCAGAAGAAACCAAAATTGTAGGATGCCTAGAAAATCAGTTATACTAAAACACATGATTTAAAGGGGCCTTTCACGAAAAATGATACATATCTCGCAATTTATAAGAGCTAGTAATTTTGAGTGTTCAGCAAAGTTGCTTAAAATAACATTTGCTACAACTTTATTGAAGACGTTAAGTCTCTATCTGAATCAGATAAAAAAATATTTTTTTGATCTCACTTTTAGGTCTACATCAAAAGAAGCGGATTAACATATGCAAAAACATCTATGAACAAACTATACCCCTAAAATCAATGTTTGAGAAGCTATTAAAAAAGCGCACGAAAACGGCAAAAAGCAACACTGTGCGATGAAGGCAAGAATGACAGCTTTATCAAAACCGTATACTTCATAATTTATCAATAGTGATGCACAGATAAAAATTCTTAATTATAATTGTGATGTAAACATTCATTCACGTAAACTTGTATTTCATTTCACGCAAACGAGCAACTAGTATGCAATGTTGTTTACAAATATGGGCTTTTGTATACAATATCTGCAACATTTCATGAAATAAGGGGGTTAAGTACTCATCCCCTAGGTAAAAAAGTCAAGATCATAGGTATAAAAATGAAACTACAATGTGTTGAATCGGAACCTACCTAACTAATAAAAACCAAAGATTTAAGTAAGCTAAAGGAGAAAAATCTATACAACTCTCTAATAAGGAAAATCCCCAAAGGCTTGGTAGCCATCATAATGAAGTAATGAAATTGGGTTGTTAGCGGAATGCATTGTAGTCGAAATACGTATCTGTCATGGATACCAAAATAATGAAGTGGAATTAAATGGAAGATAACCTTTTTTGTTTTTGCATTCCGCTAGGATACTCGTAAGTTTTTGAAAACACAGTTAGATCCAAAAACACACAAAATCAGTAATTTCAGGAATGGTAAAGATGGCTCCATCATTGTTGAGTGTGCAACAGGATCTATTCTAAATGATGTGAAACCAAATATAAAGCCTCATTTTTAGCTGTTTGTGGAGTAACAGTATTTTCGAAGATAAAAAAGCTTTTTCCGGGTCAGGATGTAAAGAATCTGACGTAAGAAGTACTTAAAAAACGATTTGATAAATGTGACTCTGAGGTGATTCATAGCTACAGTAAGCAAAAAAAAGTTTATCCACTCTCCTACCAATTTACATTTTTTTTTTTGTTTCTCTGGTGAAAATCAGTTTAATTTTATGAGTGTTCCTCCATGATTTATCAATTTATGTTTATTTATCACATTGCCATTGAAAATACGGCGTTTATATCTTTTCTTGAGATTTCATGTGATAAATGATGAAAAAATTACGCAAAAATAGTTTATCCACCCCCAAACGGATACTACGATTTAAGTGTGTTTTACAGAGTTTTAGTGTGTATTCTGCTACTTTTTCGAATGTAAACATTGTGTCTAGCTGTCATTTAGTGCTCTTGAAGTTTTCGTGCTCAAAATTTCAGTTTCGTGTTCAAAATTGGAAATTACGTTTGCGATCAGTATCCGAAATTTGATTATTGAACATCACAAAACTGGCAATTGTGACGCTGGACAATATCGGCAATATCACGGTGGCGATATTGCCGATATTGTCCAGCGTCACAAAGATACGGTCGCTAGAATTGTGCAGATGTACAAAACGCGTGGTTCTATCTCACCAGATAAGCGATCGGGGCGTCCTTCAAAGACAACTGGCCGAAATGACAGAGCTATCTTGAAGAAGGCGGAGCAGGACCGGGGACTATCAGTTCCGAAAATTGCGAAACAGATTGAAAGCGAGTTTTCCATTCAACTGACATCACAATCCGTACGAAATCGTCTTCATAAGAAAGGTCTTAAGGGCAGAGTAGCTCTTAAGAAGCCATGGTTGTCGGCAAAAAATACCAAAAAAATATTGAATTGGGCCCAGGATTACATTTCATGGACCAGTGATGACTGGAATAAGGTGATCTGATGGTAAACGAAAAAGAGAAAAAGACATTGAGGATGCCGGAGCGGTCTCTGACTCTGAACTCGATTTTTATGGATTCCCAGCGGATTCATTCATCTACGGAGAAGAGATTCCAATCGATAATCCTGTTACAGAAGTTAACCAGAGTCCACTGGTAGTCAGAAGATCGAATAGAAATTCCAAGA